CGCTGATTGTTGTTTTTGTTGTAATATATTTGTGTGATGTATTTGTGAACTATTACTTTGAAATTGTTTTATATACTTTTGATTAATTTTTTTAGTAAACTTATGAATTTATGTTTATATTAAAATTTATACAGTTTTACTAAGTTTTTTTATATATTTTAAAAAATAAAATAAATTTTTTTTGATAAATTTAACGAGTAATGATTTAAAAATAAATTTTTTTAATAAACTTAAATCAAGTAAAATTTTATAAAATTTATCAAGTATTGATTAAACATGAATTAAATAATTTTTAATCGAATCAAATGTTACACCAAATTAGGGGGTGTAATATTGTCCGGGAAAAATGGTGGGCACATTTGTATTGTAGCGCTGCAAAAGCTGTGAGGAGTCTGCACAAAGTGGGAAAGATTTTTATGCGAATCTGAACGTGTATGGTACAGCGTGTACTAGGGTATTTATCGAGTGAGTGGATAGTAAGTTAGATATTGTTTAACTTGTCTTCGTTAAAAGTTTTGCTGCTCCATTTGTTGCCGGTTAAGTTTGTTAAAATTGTGTTCGACTCGTGTTCATTAAAAAAAATTATTACTCAACTCGATTCGTTGCTCGTTAAGTTCACTAAAAAATTTACCTTATTTTTTTAACTAAAAATAAAATTTATTAATACTATACGAAGATATTAGGGTTAGTTTTTTTTGTATTGAAATAATATTAATAATTAATATCATTTAATTATTTATTAAAAAATAAGAGATTAGTTAACTTAATATTTGTATTATTTATTAATAAATTAATAATTATTATTTAGATTTATTTTTTGAATGAAATAATTTTAAAGTTATTATTAAAAATATATTTTTAATAATAATGAGCTACTCGCGAACTTATCGAGTCGAGTTAGACTTTGTTCGGCTCAGCTCGTTAAGGTATCGAGTCGAGTTTGAGTTCAGGTCGAGCCAGCTCGAGTCGATCGTATATCGAATTTTAACCGAGTCGAGTTCGAGCTGCTCAACTCGCTAAGCACTTGTATACTTTGCTTTTTGGACTTTGGTAATGTTTTGGAGCATCGTTATGTTTTTATCTTCCGAACTTTTATATGAGTCCTTAATTTCTGATTATATTTTAAATTATTTTTAAAATTTTTTAAAAATTTTATAATACTTTTAAACTATTAGTATTATTTTATTTAAATATTTATATTAATATATCATTAATTAAAAAACTAATATATTTTGGAAGGTTCTAAAAACCTGAACTAAAACTTTGATCACTAGTTCAATTTTCAAGACTTTTAAAAATAAATTATTTTAAAAAAAGATTACACTTTTAATTCTTACGACTTTAAAAAAATAATTGAGTTAACGGCACATTAGATAAAAGATCAAAATAGAATGATATTAATAGTTTGAAGATTAATATATAATATTTTAAAATTTAAAGACTAATTTAAAAAGAAATCATAGTTATGAAGAGTATAATTTGAGAACTTCTTATGAAATTAAATCTAAAAATAAATGGTGGCTCTTAAATTAGAAAAAAATGATAAATGTTTTTTTATAATTTCCTTTTTAAAATGGCTCAATTTTAATTAGTTTTTTCCTAAAGTATAAATTATGTATTATTTCAATTGAGATGTTTTTAATAGAGATTGTGAGCCATTAATATATATTAAATTCTGTTTTTAAAAGTTAAAGATTATGTAATTTGGGTTTTAATTGATGAAATATATTGGGCTTTAGTTGGAGCGGAAATAGTTAGGCATTCGTTTGGATTTTGATGAGGGAAATGGACGGGGGCCCATTGAAAGAATTGGATGCCATTTTGGGTTTGATAAAAAGTGTTAATTTTCTTTATATTATAGGGTAAACTACGCATTTAGTACCTAAAGTTTCACTTTTGGTACATTTTTTTACAATATCATACCTAAAGTTTAGTTTTGATTTTATTTTAGTACCCGTCGTTAAAAACTTAATGGCAGAATTGATGTAGCATTTTAAAATTATTTTCTTAATTTATAAATTATTATTTATATTATTATTTAATTAATTTCATTCAACTAATATGGTAGTGACCACATTAGAAACAAATTAAAGGAAAAATATCCTTAAAGGAGACTACAAAATTTCAATCCTAGGATACCCTTGGGATAAGAAAGGGCGTCAAACCATTTAGGTTAGGCTTGTAATTGGTTTTAATTTGTTGAAGTGTATACTTAACTTATAAAAAATATTAAATTAAACAAATGAATAATTTCTCAATTTAATTTAAATAAAACATTAATTAAATATTTATATATTTTATAAAATTAATATTAATTTATTTTAAAAATTAAATTTATGATATTTATTACAATAGAATACAAGTTTTAAATTTTTTTAAAAATAAATATATATTAAAAAATTATATTATATTATAAGTAGTTTAAAATTATATGTATTTAGTTATTTAATATTTAAATTAATTTTTTTAAAAATAGTAAATAAAATTTAAAATTATTTATATTTATTTAATAATAAAATTATAATTTGCAATTATTTATTAAAATAAATAAAAAAAAATTATATTTTAAATTCTAAGGATAAAATTTTAATTTTAATTTGATTTTATTAATTAATTATTTATTTAAATAAAAAATTATATTTTAAATTATAAGGAAAAAATATTAATTTTAATTTGATTTTAATAATTATTTATTTAAACAAAAATTATATTTTAAATTATAAGGATATAATATTAATTTAATTTAATTTAATTAATTATTTATTGAAATAAATAAAAATATATATTTTAAATTATAAGGATAGAATATTAACTTTAATTTGATTTTTATTAATTAATTATTTAAATAAATAAAAAATTATATTTTAAATTATAAGGATAGAATATTAATTTTAATTTGATTTTAATAATTATTTATTTAAACAAAAATTATATTTTAAATTATAAGGATATAATATTAATTTAATTTAATTTTATTAATTATTTATTTAAATAAAAAATTATATTTTAAATTATAAGGATAGAATATTAATTTTGATTTGATTTTATTAATTATTTATTTAAATAAAAAAATATATTTTAAATTATAAGGATAAAATATTAATATTAATTTAATTAATTAATTAATTAAATTAACATAAGATAAATATAATCTTTGGCAACTTAGTATTAATGTTGTGCTTGGCCTAAATGGTTGGGCGCTTATTTCTCCTCCAAGGAGACCCAGATTCGATTCTTGGCTGTGCCTTCCCTCTTTGGAGAATTACTTGTCACCATTTAACAGTGGAGTACTGAAATTAAACAAGTAATTCCTTATTTGGATAATTACTTCAGATTTAAATGAAATAGTGAATTTAAGGAAATAATAATAATCTACGCAATTTATACAAGTTTTTTCGAATTTTATATTTTACCCGCAAAAGAATTATACAAAACCATAATAGAAACGAATAAGAAATACATATTTTAAGTCTACTATAATGAGTAAAGGCCAGTCAATCAGCAGGTACTAGAAGAAAAGTTATTGTTCATAATGAGAAATACATATTGACTAGCGGTATAAACCGAGATACATGAACAAATAGAGAGCAAAAACACTTCCGATACCAGAATTTATCCATTCATGAGAACTCGACATCGTGTAACTTTCGATAATCTGGTCAAGTGTGAGATCGGTGAAATAGCCCTCCCCTACGCGCAAAATGTATTCCTTTGCAAGCCTCTCGACTTCAACTTGAACTCTATCTCCTCCTACTTCACTTGGTTCCAACAAATTACAAGCTACCTCAGTCACACCATTACTATGTGCAAGCCCCATCGGTTGCACTGAAGGAAGTCCACCTCCTCTCTCAATCACTTGTTTCGCGATCCTACAAAACAGCCGCAATATCAGTTGAGAACACGGGGACGTTGTAGTTAGCAACCCAATGGGTGGCTCCAATTAGAATAAATCCTTTTGTTGGAGAAACTTGAGCTGGACCAGCATCAGGCTTCAGTGGCAAGGACTCTGATTTAGACCCTCCAGACCATAGAACAGTGTCCGAGTTAGGCTTGAAATAACCAAGTTCTCTTCTGATAGAAGCACGCAACCTTCCCTTCTCATTGGCAGCTCCATAAAGAAATGTAGGTACTGCAGTTAACATTCAAGGTCATTTACTATAGGAAAGGTAATATCTTTAGGAGCGAAAAGGTAAATGATGCACAAGGACAAGGTACCAAACAATCCCATATTTGAAAAGATAACACACATAAGAAGACTTGTGAAAATGCAGATATTATTAGACACAAAGCTTTGACTCTTACATCGCGCCTTCTGACTTCCGATCAAGTTAGGCAACAAAGATGATGCAAAATTAGAAAGAAAAACAAACAAATTCTACGTTAAAGAACCATATAGCATCTTTAAAGCTTTATCAATCACTACAGAGTCCGACTGGAATCCTACACATTTGAAGCATATTAAGAATCCCACTATTCATATAGACTTACCAGGCCGACTGTTTTCTATTTTTTATTTTTGCTTAATCATATTCCAAAGCTCCACTCACTAATCTAATTGGTTCTGGCAAAAATCTACACAACATTTGATCCAAAAGGAAGAAACCTTCAAGTTTAGAGCCTATATCTGCTGCCAAAGACTTTGCAATCAGAGCTGCCTGGTCCAGGGAAGTATGTGCCAAGGGGTGAAAACATATATGATCAACAGCTCCAAGTCGAGGATGAGTTCCGGAATGCAACTCGAAGTCTATGGTTCCCAAAGCAGACTTAACAATATAAAACACCGTATCTTTTAAAGGACATGAATCCCGAGATGGTTTTGGATTCAATCTGGAGACAACTGTTTACCCAACTTTATTGTAAATTACATCTATGAACTTATTCACAATAGCAGCCTCACGGAATAGCTTGGCAGCTCTTTCTACCGATTCCAAAACTGCTCTATTTCAGCTTTCGGAAATGTACACCTTGCCACAAGCCAGCAGTTTGTTCAACATCCTTGCTTCTCCTCCACCTCTTTCTACTTGCTTAAGATCTGCCAAAAAAATATAATAATAAAGGAGTAGATAGAGATGATAATATGAGATAAATGGCAAACATTTAGCCACGGTTTAAGGGAGGAGTGGGGGCCATCACTCCAGCCTAAAATCTACGAACAAATTAGAGTGGAAAAGTAGCAAGCTCAGATGAGAAACAGATCGAGCCTGAAACTTTAATACCAATTAAAACTGATTAATGGACTAAAATATATTTACAACCAACAACAACAACAACAAAAATAAAGAGCATTCCTATCTGAAACTTAGTCTAAGCAATCGAAATACCTATAAAAGGGGTTGAAATCAAAATTCAATGTCTTTAGGTTTTGGGTACCCATTATATTCCAATTTAACACCCAAAGCTGCACGGATAACCCTAAACTTAAGCCTCAAAGCTTCCATTATTTCTTGGATACTCTCGTTTTCTGGATCCATAACAGGGAACTTTTGGATTAGTTCCAGCATCTGGTCAATGTTCTTTTGAACCCGAGTGGAGAATTGGGTCGGATCGACTTGGATGGCGGAATTCCAGACATCGACGCAGCCCTTGTAGAAACCGAGCTCTTCGCCTGTTTCGAAACCCCTTTTAAGACCCACTTCCCTTCCTTCTTTGCCGAGCGTTGTGCCGTGGTTGTAGCCTTTTGCGTAACCTTCTTGGTAATGTGTTTCTTCTAAATTTAGTGTTGAATAAAAAATATCTTCGGCAGAGTCCATGGAACATAAAAATAACTTTTTATGACCTTCCCGGAACGGTTGCTCTTCTGGTTCAGAAGAAGTACAATAGTCAGGCAGATTTACTCTGTGTTACATTACCTCGTCAGAATAAGCCTTTGAAATAAAACGGTAAGTATTAAAAAATAAAAATAAAATTATAGGGTAAATTATACCATTACTCACTTAATTTTACTCTCTCATATTTTACTCTCTCATATTTTACTCATTACATTTTCAATTTTTCAATTTACCCATTAAATTTTATTTATTAAACTTTTTTCTTAGTGTAAGATGATGTAAATTATTTTATTATTATTTTTCATATGACATGTCATATTTTGTTAATATTTTTAATATACAATATGATTAAAATAAAAATAAATTTAAAAACTACAATTATATCCTTAAATTATACTTAAATTCTCAAATTATATTGTAAACTCTAAATCTCAAATTACAATTCCACCAACCATCATCCTTGACAAGTTCATCTTCCCACCGACGAACAATCAATTTACCTCTACACCTTATTCTCTTGTTCATCTCTCACGACCCTCAACCAAACCATCAACACAATCATGATACCCCTAAAATTGTATCCAAACCCACAAGCACAACAAATGATATCAACCAATGAAGGGGAATCAGAAATTACATAGATTGAATCAATAATTCAACAACAAAAATTAAAAAAAAGAAAAGAAAAGATTAATCATTTAACAAATAAATCAAAAAGAAAAAATAGAGAACTTTTTTTTTTGGGTTTTCAAAAGGGGCGGGCTCCAACGATTGGATGACATATATGAATAATGAGGAGTGACATTGTGACAGAGGGACCAACATATCTCCATTTGATCTCGACCCAACAATAGTTGATGGAGATCGGAGAGTGGAAAACTGAATGGTTTCAATATTGGTTTGTTAACACCGGATCATTTCTCTTACGAAACTAAGGGTGAATTCGTTCTCATAACGTAAAAAAAACATTTGGAATAAAAAAGTTTAGAGCTCAACAGCCACCAGAGACCACTGTGGCAGCCACTGCAACCGTAGCTACTGGAGGCTCTAAGTGAGTGCTGCCATTGAAGCTTCAATGTGAGGATGAGAATTTTTATTTTAAGATTTGAATGTATATTTTAAATATTTTAAATTTATTTTTTTATAATCTTAAATAATATTAAAATATTAATAAAAATGTGACATGTCATATAGAAAAATAATAAAATAATTCATGTCATTAATGAATTATAAAAAATTAAATATATAAAATTTAGTGAGTAAATTAAAATAACTAAAAATATAATAAATAAAATAGGAGAGAGAGAACATTTAGTGATGAATAATGTAATTTACTCAATTTTATAATATACTATAAGGGTGCGTTTGGTTCACGGAATGTAAGATTACCAGTGGGAATAAAAGATTACCAAGAAATAAGATTATTGAGAATGTTGTATTTTATGTTTGGTTGGTTTAGCAAGAATGTAAGATTATCGTGTTTGGTTAAAGGAATAAAAGATTATTGAAAGGTATATTTGACCAAATTGTCCTTATTATATATTTGTATAATATTACAAGTTGAAAAATATTTATATAGTTTCTTTAAAAAAATTGAATTCATAAAATTTATATATTTTTTTTACAAAATTAAAAATATAAAAAAGGTTAAATAAAAGGGTAAATTTTATTTTAACCCCTGAACTTCATATAAAATTTTAATTATAGATTTTTTTTTTGTAAATCTAAAATAGTTTAAGGATAAATTTATAATTTAATCTTTGTAGAATTTCAATTATTCAATGACAGATGAATGATATTTTTGAAAAAAAAAATTAAGGGCATTTTAGTCCAAAATGCCGGTAATGTTACAATACCTAAGGGAAGGGAGATAATGACATTCCCGGTAATATACCCCAAAAAATTTACTATTGGTAATAAAACATTACCGAGAATGACATTCCCGGCCAAACCAAACGGGGAAATGTGGATTCCATTCCCGAAGAATCACACATTCTCCCATCCAAACGGCCCCTAAGAGATAAGCAAACATGCTTGAACAACGGGTATTTATATACAATATAATAAAAATTACTTTTAAAGTAAAATTTTTATTCTAATATTTAGCGAAATTTATTAGAATTATACGATGATTATTAGAAAGTGTATAAGTTATTCGATAATTATCTCATACAAATAATATAGAGGAATTATATTATGATCCAAATATATTTTATCGACCGTTATCATAAACAGTTGAAGAAAAAAATTTATTCACTCTATATGATTAATTTCTTTTAATATATTATTCACATAATTTAATCTATATAAAGTTTTAATTAAGATCCGATGAATTATATTTCTTTAAATAATAGCTCTAAGATCATTTTATGGAAATATTATATACATTATTTTAATTAATTGTTAATTTTTTAATAATTATTTATTATAAAAATATAATATTATTATATTTAAAATATTATATAGTTGAATCAATATATATATATATACTAAATTGTTAACATTGAATCTTGAAAAGCATGCTTCCCTCTCCAGAATCGGCGCCCTTAACTCGGTTGTTTTTCTTCTACAACTACAACCCAACCTTGAGTTAACGCAGTTCCACTTGAAGTGCATTCTTTTTTATTTACTTCATTTTCTTTCACATAAACAAGCAACGACCCAACCCGGCTCTTTTTTCAAAAGCATCTTCCATTTCACAAACAGAGAGATCGGTTCTTCTTAAAGATCAATGGGAGGAGGAATAGGAGTAACATCCCACAGAGGGAATGGGAGCGGCCACAAGGGAAGACCATACGGTTTGATGCTGCTTTTGGCGTTCGGGGCGGCCCTGCTCGGCTTATTGGTGCTTCACAAGCTCAGGGAACGCCGCATCTTTAACCTTGTCATCGAAAACAAGAATCGGCAGCTCCTTTCTCTCCAGATGCTGTTGCAGGTTTCCTTCCCCCTTTCTCTCTCCTTCATGCATGCAATGTTGCCTCTTACTTGTCACTCTCTCCCCACGACAAATCACTAGCATCATGCATTCTGTTCTGTTAAATAAATATTCTTACTTTTTAACCTTCTTGTTTTTTTAAAATTATTTTGACCATCCAAGCCCAAAAGGGTAACTTCCTTTTTCAATGTTCATGGAGGAATTTTCTTGATTTACAATGTTTAGTGATCAAACACAATGTCTTATGCATTGTGAAATCATTAAGCTAATTTGTGGTAAACTAGTAGCCTATTTGCAATATATTATTGACTGCTGACAATGTTAATCCATATATAGGAAGAAGTTTAAACTGCTGACAATGTTGTCTTTTTTTTATCACAGAAGGAAAGAGAATACAACAAAGAAATGAAAATGAAAGCTGAAGAGACAAATGAAAAGATATACTACCTTAGAAACCAAAAGATGGAGCTTTATCGTAGGCTCATGGAAACATTATCTAGAATTGATTCCCTTAAAGATGAACAAAAGGCCATGGAGTCTACACTGGAGGAGAAAAGGAACGAGATCAAACAGTTCCGAGATAAAGACATGAATACAGGAAATGAGAACCCTCAGGTCATTGCTCTAACAGCAACTTTGAAGCGAAAGGAAGCTAAAATCGAGGAATTGAAGCACCTTCTGTAGCGGAAGACGGCTATCGGATAGAGCAAAATCGCAACTGATAATTTGAGAAAATAAAAATGAAGATAAAAAAGTGACACAAAATTTACGTAGAAAACCCCTAAATAAAATAGGGTAAAAATCACGGGCAACGGTAGAAGAATTTCACTATGAGAAAATAGGAATTACAACTTCTCTCGATCTACCAAGGAGAAAACAATGATAATTCTCTCTTGATAAAAGGGAGAAAACAACTCTCAAGAAACTATCTAAATTCTATCTAGTATGGGAAGAAAGCTAAAATGCTTTGGGATGGTTTTGAAGCTAAATGAGCTAGGGTATTTATAGTTGAAGCTTAAGGACTAATTCATAAATATCCTAAATTTTAGTGACTAGAGTTTGTAATTTGCCTATATAAAAAATCAACAATTTCTACACCTAATTTTTGGTGCCTACAATTGTTGACAAAATTCAATATTTTTTTTTCTTCAAACCATGCACTTTCGGTGCATTGATTTTCAACAATCTCCCACTTGAAGATTTAATTGGAACAATCATATCTTCACACCATTCTTTCTACCATGTACCATCATGTTGCTTACGTCTCTGACAGGCCACAAGAGGATCGACACCAAGTAAATTTATCAGTATTGATCGCATTCGTCATGAAATCTGCTATGTTGTCTTTGGTATGGATCTTCTGCATATCTACCGTCCCTTCTTCCACCTTTTCACGAATGAAATGGTACTGAACTCGTATGTGCTTTGTCCTTGAATGAAATGCTGGATTCCTTGCTAGATGCAAGGCGCTTTGACTGTCACAAAACAGAGAGACATACTCTTAATTGTGCCCAAGCTCCTCCAATAGCATTTTCAACCAAATTGTTTCTTTACTGGCTTGTGTAGCTGCTACATATTCTGCCTCTGTTGTGGACGTAGCCACAACTGACTGCAATTTTGAAACCCAACTTACAGCTCCACCAGCAACTTTGAACACATATCCTGTAGTAGATTTACTTTTATCCAAATCCCCTGCATAGTCAGAATCTACATACCCATTGATTAATAAGTTTGATCCTCTGTAGCATAATGCAACATTTGAGGTCCCTTTGATATATCTCATGATCCTCTTCACAATATTCCAATGCTCTTTGCCTGGATTCGCCATGTACCGACTAACCACTCCCACTGCTTGTGCAATGTCTGATCTTGTGCATATCATAGCGAACATTAAACTTCCCACTGCTGATGCATACGGTACTCGAGACATCTACATACTCTCTTCTTCACTGCTAGGACTCATACTGGAGGATAATTTGAAGTTAATAGGAAGAGGGGTAGAAATTGGCTTACAATCTTGCATGTTTAATCTTGACAAGATCTTCTTCAAGTAATTCTTTTG